CCGGCCGGCTGGAAGTGCCCACTCCCACCTCTTCCCCGCTGGCCTCTCACAAGCCCTCCCGCTGGGATGCGGCCAGGCCTCTGGCCAGTGCTCCTGGCCACGGCTCCCTCCTGCAGGGTGTCACTCCCACCTCCAGCCAACCCTCCCGTTCCCCCCAGCCCCCTGGCCGCGCCTTCCAGACTCTTGGCGCTTTGCTTTCTCGGCCAGACTCAAAACTCGGACGCCCCAGGGCTCCCTGCATGCAGGAGCTGCCCAACAGCTCTGGACGCCACTGGCTGCCTGTTCCTCCCACACTTACATCTTCAACCCAGACCCAGAGCTCCACCTATCCAACTGCCTTTTGTGTGTCCAAAAAGCAAATCGAACATTACACAACTAACTCTCATTGGGGGCCGGGCACGGTGGAACGTAATCCATGGTGGCCTATAATCTCAGCACTTTGGGAGCCAAGGTGGGAGGATCACTTGAGGTCAGGTGTTCGAGACCAGCTTGGGCAACATAATGAGACCCCATCTCTATGTTCTTTTTTTTTTTTTTGAGTCGGAGTCTCACTCTGTCGCCCAGACTGGAGTGCAGTAGCCGCTGCCGGGCACCGCAGCCTCAACCTGCTGGGCTCCGGCAATACTTCTGCCTGTCCAAGTAGCTGGAACGACAGGCGGGTGCTACCACGCCCGGCTCATTTTTGATTTATTGTAGAGATGAGGTCTCGCCAAGTTGCCCAGGCGGGTCTCGAACCTGTGGGCTCAGGCAATCCACTCACCTCGGCCTCCCAAAGCACGGGATTACAGGCTGAGCCACCGAACCCGGCTCCATCTCTATTTACAAAGAATAAAAATTAAAAAGAACCCTTTTCCACTTTAACATAAGTACTGAAGCATGTGCCTTTTTCGAAAGTTCCGAGTTGTTACGCCACAGTGACCAAAGACCGCCTGACTGTCACTTCCAGGCTCACTCCTCCCCCGTCCCTAGTCCCCATGAATCACCGCACTCCTCGCCTGCCGGTTAAGTCAAACCCAGGCTTCAGCCCTGACTCCTCTTCCTCCCATCTCCACATCAGCGACTAACGTTCCTGTTGGCTCTGCCTTTAAGAGCACTTAGGATTCTTGGCGAAGGCGGCCATGTGTCCGTCCACCTGTTCCAAACACCTGGCGGTGGGAGACAAAATGAGGCAGAGCTGGGGGTCAAAAACAAGAGGACTCTCTCAAGGGGAGAGATAAGAAGGGCGACAAAAAATCCTCCTGTTCAAACCAAAATGCCACCACACATGAGGAAATCCAGTGCTAAGAGAGACAGGATTGACCAGTGGAAGATTAATTTTGTTCAGATAAAACCAACAAACAATTAAATAAAAACAGGTCTGAAAAGGTAGAAATTTTTAAAACTAGCTAGACCCATGGAATCAATTATTATTATCATTTAATAACCTAGAAATAAACCCTTACATATATGTCAACTGACTTTTCAACAAGGAAACCCAAACCATTAAATAGGCAAAGAACAGGCTTATTCAGCAAACATGCAAAAGAATAAAGTTGGACCCATATCTTATGCTATATTTAAAAGTGGCTCAACATGGATCAAAGATCGAAATATAAGAGCTAAAACTAGAAAAGCCTTAGAAGAAAAAACAGGAAAATTTCATAACATTGAATCTGACAGTGACTTCTTGGATATGATACCAAAAACACAGGCAATAAAAGAAAAATTGATAAACTTGGCTTCATCAAAATTTAAAACTTTTGTGCATCAATGGACACTACCAAAGGGTGAAAAGACAACTTACAGAATGGGAGAAATTATTTGCAAATCGTATATCTAATAAAAGGTTAATACCCAGAAAATATAAAGAACAACAACAAAAACAACCCAACTTTAAAACGGACAAAGGATAACACTACACGAAAGGGTTTGGCAGTAGCTGGATGCTGCCAGGGAAGGGGGGGCACATAACATCAACAAGGGCCCCTGATCTCAAGCCAGGCAAGGTGGGGACCAAAGGGAAGCCCTAACTTTACCTGTGCGATGACCGTGTGTCTGCCTAGTCCTGAATTGTACCCCACATCTTTAAAATAATAACAATAATAATCAACAGACAAAGGATCCGAATAGACATTTCTCCAGAGAAGATATACAAACCAGAGAAGATATACAAATGGCCAGTAAGTACATGAAAAGATACTCACTATCACCAATCATTAGAAAAACGCAAATCGAAACCACACTGAGACCACGTCATACCCATTAAGATGGCTATTATCAAAATAAACAGAAAATGACAAATGTTAGTGAAGGTATGGAAAAACTGGAACCCTGGTACACTATTAGTTTGAAAGTAAAATGGTGCAGCCCCCGTGGAAAACGACTGGACAGCTCCTCAAAAAGTTGAACAGAATTGCCGGCAAATCCACCTCTAAGTATCTACCCAAAAGAAATGAAAGCAAGGAACTCAAACAGTTGTTTGTACACCCATGTGCACAGCAGCACCATCCAAAATGACCACTGACTGACTATGCAAACATCTATCAACACACGAATGGATAAACCCAAGGTGATAGACACATACAAGCAACTATTACTAAGCCATAAGAAGGAACGACGTTCTAATGCTGTGTACACTACAACATGGATGCACCTTGGAAGCATTATTCTAAGTGAAACAATCCAGACACTAAAGGACACGTATTGTATGATTCCGCTTACATGAGGTACCTAGGACAGGCACGTTCATAGGGACAAAATGTAGACTAGAGCTTACCAAAGGTGAGGGAAGGGGAATGGGGAGTCACTGCTTAATGGATACAGAGGTTCCGCTCGGGATCATTTTTAAGGTTTGGGAATTACATCATGAATGTGATTAATGCCACTGAACTGCATACTTGACTAGTTAAAATAGCAAATGTTATGTTTTATATATATGCTACCACAATTTTTAAGAACTAATAATGTAATGTGCCCCAAACCATCAATCTGTATACTCTAAATAGAAAAAATGTGTGTGTGCTAACTATTCCAGTAAAGCTGTTTACGAAAAAAATCTCAGTGGCTCCTCGGTGGAAGGTGACAAGCTCATCTCCAGGTTCACACAGACCAGCAAAGGACTGAGGACAGCCCAAACAACACTGAAGTGCAAAACAGGAGATCAGCCTTGGCTTTAGTTTTAAAGCCTTATTGCACGCTAAGCCAATTAATGTCATTCGGTATCAGGGAAAGACCTGGATGGAAATGAGAGCCCAGAAAGAGGCCCGACGGACGGGACCAGAGCATCTGACCAAGGTGGCAGCACAGGCACAAGTCGGGGCCGAGGGTGAAGCAGTCACTGAGTGATGCTGGGAAACCTGGTCATTCACACGCGGAGGAGGGAACTCCATCCACAGACACACCTCAGACGTACGAAGACCTCCGCTGGAAAGCAAACGCTAAAACTGGGGGGGATGTGCCAGAAAGCAGCTCTAGGACGCTAAGGCAGGGAAGGATGCCTACTGCAGACACAGACGTCATGGACTGAAAAGGGAAAGACTGATAAATCTGACTGCAAGAAAAAGTAAGCCTTTCCACGAAAGACACGATAGAGAAAACGGAAAGAAAAAGATATCTGCCATGCGTATTACTGACAGGGAACTGGCTTCCAGAACACAGAAAAAACCCCTACAGAATCATATGAAAAACACAAGTAACCTCTCAAAAAAACTCAACAAATCACAAGGAGAAAGAAGAGAAGAAGACACTCAAAACCACCGGCAATCCGGGAAACTTGGGTGAAAACAATGAAGAGATGCCGTTCCACACCCTGGGTTCAGCAGACAATGTCACTGCCTGGCGCTGTCTTCCCAGCCGCTCTGTTGATGAGAGGGGCCAAAGAATCACTCCGGAGAGGCTTCGGCTACTTCGGGCAAGTTTTATTTTATCTTGCTTTATTTTATTTATTTTTTGAGTTGAAGTCTCACTCTGCCACCCAGGTTGGAGTGCAGTGGCACGCTCCGGTCACCGCAGCCACGGTCTGCTGGGCTCTAGCAATCCTTCCGCCTCAGCCTTCCTGGAGCTGGAACTACAGGCGCGCGCTGCCACGCCCGGCTGATTTTTGATTTACGGTAGAGACGAGGTCTCACCAGGTTCCCCAGGCTGGTTTCGAACTCCTGGTCTCAGGCGATCCACTCGCCTCGGCCTCCCAAAGTGTTGGGATTACAGGCTGAGCCACCGAGCCCGGCCTCGAGTAAAATTTAAAATCACTTCTGACTGCATCCTAGACGACAGCATCAGGCATGTTCACGTTCCTGCTAGTAATAAAAAAAAAAAAAATGAGAATAACACTCTGTTCATCACAAGAAGAGAGAAGATAATTAATGGTGATAAAGGCACACAGTGGAGTGTTATTCTACCAATAAAAATGAATGAGCATGTAAAATCAAATAAACCTACACATTACTATGGAAGAATGTTTACAGCAATGTTGAGGGGTAAAAAGACAAGTTATAAACTCGTCATGTATCTGCGTGCAAACGGCCATGCAGACTCACACAGTGAAAAATCAGGCAAGCAATACAATACATTATTGAAAGACACAGATATAACCAGCAAAAGCTGGGATGCCCACACAGTCACACGCACTGGAAAGAAAAAGACAAATTA